TAACAGCCTTTTATGGCAACAATTGTATAAATACACATGAAACAATAGAGAGGTGTCTGTTAGTGGCAACGCTTCAGCTAGTGAAGCTCTATCATAAAAATTGTTTACATCCTCAAACACAAAACGTTGAAAACTTTCTTACCATCAAACAAAATCACCTATACCTGTAATGCATATTTGATAAGGCATTTCAAAAAAAGACATCTTACTTTTCACAATTCCAGCTTATATTATTTTTCTTGTGTAGTACTTTTGTATTCCATTTTTCTTCGTTTTCTAATTCTTCTGCAATTCTCATAACTTTGCATATCCTAGATAGTATGATAGATAGGTCTTTTTATTACTTCTGAGCTGTTTTTTTTTTTCTTTTTTCTTTTGGGGCTTGCAACAGAAAAAAAAAACACACAATTATGAGATACAAGTGTTTACAAAAGACAACTCATCTTCTTGGAACATTCTTAATTTAACTATGATAATAGCAAACACTTAGTGATTGCCAGGAAAAGTACTAAGAGCTTTTGATAGAATCCTTCCAACACCCTGCTGAAGCACAGAGAGGGTATATTTGTTGCTCAAGTTACTCAGTTTGCAAGTGATGGGACCAGGAATTGGACTCAGGAATCTGGCTCCAGTCTGTTAATCACTCCAGGATGCTGCATTTATTTACATGATTAACACATATTGAATTTGAATTCCTACTCTGAGCCTGCATCTCACAGTGCTCAGTGCTTTGCTATCAATAACTTTTGACATTCATAACAACCCCACAAAGTAGACTCAGTTGATAGTTCCATTTACATCTGAGAAACCTAATGCTTAGTTGATTAAATTAATGGCCCATGGGTATTGCTACAACTGTATGCAGTTAAAGCTTTAATGTGTCTGACTCTAGAATGAGCTGTTGCCATAATCAGTGTCAGATTAATGCATAATTGTAGTCATTTTGGTATGACTGCACTTTGGATTTGAGAGAGCTGAGCAAGATTAAGGATCATTATGGGGAATTTGGGGAGTGCCTACAGGAGAAGTATAGATAGGACTTGGGAATTAGACACAACAGTATACCTAAGACTTGGATGTTTGATGAAGATTTGGAATTGGTGACCTTCGAGGAATGACTCTGTGTTCTGACTTCAGTTTGTCTTTAGAAGCACAAAGGGTGATTATACAAAACACAGTTACCTTTACAGGATTTAAGTGCCTTGTCCGCCTGTCTGAGGATAAGAGAACAATGACTCAAAGCAACCCACAGGTTTCAATTCATGAAAGAATATTTGTGTTTTTAATACATTCTTTGAAAACAAAACTCAAACCTATATTTCCTCTGCAGCTTTTAAAAATTAGGTTTTTAAGCACTTAGACTAATGCCAATGCCTGTCAGAATTAGAGCTGTTCTCCAGTACTATTTCTATAGTTTTGTTGTGTAAATTAATTCTAGTAATTTTTTGGCAATGCCTGTCAGAATTAGAGCTGTTCTCCAGTGCTATTTCTATAGTTTTGTTTTGTAAATTAATTCTAGTAATTTTTTTTCTTAACAATTTTAGTGTTTTTCTAAAAAAAAGCAAAGCTAATCAACATCAATCTGACCCTTTTTACATTGTTTTCAGGTCCCGAAGAGGCAGAAATCAAGTGTCCCCTGAATCACATCGCTTGCCCTGGTGCCCACAAATGTGTTCACTTGTCCCAGCTGTGCGATGGCGCCTTGGACTGCTCAGATGGGTACGATGAAGGAGTGCATTGTCGGGGTGAGTCCTTGTGCAATTGCAATACTAAATTTTTCATCGTTTTAATGAAAGTTCAAAGAAAACCTGCTTTTTTTTCAACCATAACCATATCAGTTATTGAGAAAACATAACTGTCATTGCCAGACACACTCAATATGCATTTCAAAGCTGTTTATATTGTGTTTTACTGAAAAGTGCTGTTAGGGGCAAAACCACACTTAGACTTTGAGGTTGGGCTCTTAAATGATTATGTACTTCATGGGAAAGAATACTTTTGAGCAAAGGGCAGATAGGAAGTCTCTGTCACAATACAATGATACTGTAGGGTGGTGCATGCTTCTTTCTCTGAACCTTTGCTTAAACAAAGACTATTTGAAGCAAATCCTCCGCAACAAATATATCACTAGCATGTGTTCATGGGATATTTTCCCTGAATATTATTTCTCTGAAGTTATACCAACTTTCTTGTAATTAAAAAAGTAAATAAACATCTAAGTTCTACAGCAGTAAAAGGTTTGTTGATACTAGTATATTAATGATAGGAGGGAGAAGTAATAATAAATCTCAAAGTTAATGAAAAGTAATGCAAATTGCAAATGGCACATTCTAGTAACATTGGTGAGGGGGAGGCCATGGAATGTGAGAGGAGGAAAAGCAAAAAGTCCAGAATTAAAGATCTGGAAACAGAATCAAAGGAATCAGGCCGCTAGAGGGAGCCAGGAAAGAAATCACTGAAACACAAGTCTCAACAGTTTCTCACTGGCTGAGGGTAACACAAAGGTTATCTATTGGAGCCGATGTCAAAGCAAAACCTATCTTTCATGCTGAGGAGAGTCTGATGCTAAGGAAAAGAAGGAACTGTAGAAAACTCGAGATGCACCCCTGGCTGTGGACAGATTCACACAAGCTAGTACTTGCTGCCATGTGAAAAAAGGTCAGAGGTCACCAAAAGTTCCACTTTTTCAGCAGAACCTCCATTGCTGCCTGTGTTTAAAGTGTTCAAAGTCAGCTACTGCTTTTTAAAACATTGTACAGTCCACAATGTACAGGCCTGACAGGTCTTACTGGCTACCAGTCCCCCAACTCTGGACTGAAGGAGACTGAATTCAAGATGAGGGAGGGAGAGCTGCATCGGTAAGAGAGTAAATATTGGAAAGGTATCCAATGGGCTGAGGATGCTGAGGGACCGTAGATCCACTGGGGCACTCGGCCTTTTCCCTCTTCCCAAAGGGACATCTAATTACTCTGTTCTGTGGACAGATTCATACTGAGAAGATCAAGGCCTTTCTTCTTTGACCGAGTTTCCTTTCCTAGCCTTGTACTCTGACATGGTCCCATAAGGAGCCAGCAGATTCTTAGTTTCAGTTATGAACACATATGTAATAATAATCAATAAGATATTTTATTTTTATTTAAAGGCTTTGTGACATGTATTCTTTTTTTATAATTGTATATTAATAAGAATTATATTAACGGAAAGTAAAGTACTGAATTACAAATAGTTATAAAGAGTTTGATTTTCTTTTCAGAAATTCATTGTATTTCCTAGAGCTTAATTCTATGTACTTCAGTTATAATCCCAGCTTCTTATATTTCAGGCAGACATGTGTGACTAAGCGTCTAAGAGTGAGATCATGACATTGCCAAATACTCCTTTGGAGGTGGTCACACAAATTTGAATATCGTAAACATGTTCAGTGCTGTGGATTATATGGAAATATATCTGAGTTCTCTAATGAAATCTATGGTTGTGATCTAATCAATCTAATTAGCTATACCTAATAAATGACATGTTAATGGCAAACCAGGGAATTCAACAAAAATATAATGTATTTGAATGAAAATTAAATGATATCAAATTTATCTTAATTTTTGAAAAGATCAGCATATACTCCAAACTGAGAAAGAATTAGAGTAGGTGCTGTAGTTGTTTATATTTCAAACTTTTTTCCTCTTCCAATTTACATTTTGTAATTGTTCCAAGTTTCCTGTCTTTATCACAAATGACAGTCTTTTTCTTTTATAATTTATCACTAGGAATCTGACTATACTGGTACTACTCTCGCCTTTAAAGTCAGCTACTTTATTCACCAAATAAAGTATTTTGAAACACCTAAATAATATGTTATGAACTGTGACAGACTTAAAAATAACAAGAATAATGTAAGAGAAAAAAGAAAAGAAATAACATAAAGTATATTTGGATTTCTACATGTATTTACCAAAGGATTTTTCACCTAATTCTTGGGACTGGTACAATTAGAGTGGTAAAATCCAGATTACTGAATAGATATAGTCATTTCAGACTTATTGGTTTAATAAACTATTTCTGCATTGAGGAAAGAAAATTAGAAATATGTTTGCTTCCTGGCATGGGAGAGTGCTCCTAACACTTGGACAAAAAATAAAAAATAAAAATATTTTTGGGCAGCGCCAGATTTATCACATGTATATGGTTTGTGTTTAAATGAAGGAAGATGACTGATTATAGGCAAAAGTATATCATAGGAATTGAATCCACTTTCCCACCTGTAATTTTCCTTCTAATTTTGGGTCACTCCTAATGAAAAAATGTTGTTGTTGTTGTTGTTGTTTTTAACATAATTAGGCACGAGCCTATCAAGTCTCTGAGGAACTTTCTCATCTGCTATCTATAATAATAAAAGAATAATGTGCTAATTAGACCAAACAGCCGAACGACCTTCCGGCCATCATTCTGGATGTCCTTCTGGATGAATCTACAGCAGCAGGGGCCAAGGCAGAGGCAGTTAGGGGCAATCAGGCAGGCAGGCAGAGTAGTTAGGGGTGATAAGGCAGACAGGCAGAGTGATTAGGAGGGGATTAGGCAGGTGAGCAGTTAGGAGTCAGTAGTCCTGAATTGTGAAAGGGTGCAGGCCAACCTGAGTGACCCCTCCTCTCCTGTGCATGAATTTCATACGCTGGGCCTCTAGTAGACATCTAATAAAGAAAAGAAATAGATTAATTCAAATGTTGCATCAATCTTTAGAAATGTGTTTCCTTTGCAGAATCGTTCTGTCTGAATCACTTTTCTTCCCATTGCTTCCTTTTTGTTTTGTTCTAAACACAGACTCTAAGTTATTATACATGAAGTCTAAGATATGAATCAAAGATTGACATATTTTTCTAATAAAAGATTTACATTTGGTTGTATAACTTTATCCTTTAAGAAAATTAATAAGGAGAAATGTTTAACATTTTGGAGGTGAGATTCTAGTCTTGGGAATGCTTTCTTAGCAACTGAATTGTTTTCTGAATGTTTCCTAGAAAAATCAATTTCTCCCTGGTGAAAGTAATAAAATATATCTATTATTAATGATTTTCTATAGCACTGATATTTTAATCTCCATAATTTAACTCCACTTGAAGAAAAAAATTGATTTTTGTATATGGGTATACGTATATAGAGGAATGTGCTTATAAAATTTTTACAATAAGAATGTTCAAAATCACCACATTATATTTTAGAAAATTGTATCGCTTCCTACATTGTATTTTATATTGGTTGTAATATCACTATATCTAAATTTCATGAGCAATGAAAACACATTTTATGCAGCACAAAGTTCCTTAACACAGAATAGTTCCACAAAAATTCTTACATCCATACAAAGAATGCTGAACAAATTCAACTAACAGAGACTAGACTGACTGAGATGTATCAAAACGCTATTTTAAAAGTTTACATTCATAAGATAATTCATTATGTCAGCATGTAAAGTGGCCATGAGCAAGAGAATCCCTCTTTGTATTCACAACCTTACTTCGATCCATTTGTCGTAGAAAATGGTGCTGCAATTGCACGCCGGTCTCTGGTATTTTCTGCTAAAAAAATGTGGGGACTCTAGGTCCCTGCAAAAGGGATTCTATCTCCTGTCTCTAGAAACAATGATCGTGCAATCTTATGTGATTAATTTCCAGCAATAATACCAAAGTCCTTGTGAATATAAATGGATAACATGTGTGAAGAGTTCCCTAAGACTGCTCAGGGAATAGCACTTTCTGACATCTGAGAAGCTTACTACCCCTGTGCGCAGATATACACAAGCATACGTAGATACTGGTCTTTTATGATTTCTCTCTTTTCTATTCTGAGTCTATTCCTAAGTACTTCTGAGTGTATAATATATCTAACTGGTATATTTGATTAGAAACTTAAAGAAAAATAAGATTCTCAGATAGGTCATCCAACTCCAGGAAATAATGCATAGTAAGAATTTTTAAAATTACACTTGATTATTTTACTTTACCTGCCAGTTGGGATATATGTATTTATATCTTACCCGCATTCTACCATTAGTCTATAAAAAACCTATTAATACGTGTCCCGCACTCTACTACACTGGTAGAATATATAAATGTGTAAAACGTATAAATACGTTTCCCGCATACAATGTGTTAATGCTTCTCAGAAGCAAAGTCACAAGTCCTAGAAAGAATAGATCTTCTGTAACCAGGAGTTTGGCTGTGGGAGCACACTGACCACCAGGGAGCAGCTTCTGCATTGAGCATCTGTCCCCTGGTGGTCAGTGTGCATCATAGTGACCAGTCGACTGATCATAACGGTCGCTTAGGCTTTTATATTATAGAATATATATATACTAGAGGCCTGGTGCATGAAATTCATGCACAGGTAGGGTCCCTAGGCCTGGCCAATGATCAGGGCCGATCTGTGGGGTGACCAGTGGGGTGACCGGTGGCTGGCCTGGGACCTGCGGGCTGGGGGCAGCTCCTGCATTGAGCATCTGCCCCCTGGTGGTCAGTGTGTGTCATAGCAACTGGTGGTTTCACTGGTAGCTCCACCATTCAATCGATTTGCATATTAGGCTTTTATTAAATAGGATATATATATATATTTATTTATGTATATGTGTGTGTACATATGCATCATACATATACATGCACACATATACATATATAAATAACTACATATATTCATTTTTCAATCTTAGATTTACAAATTCTGTGTAATTAAAAATATGATCTTGTAAAGATATCTGATTTCTTAACACTGATCTATCAGTTATAATTGCTAAACTAATTCTGCTAAAGAGACTTGGAGTTTAGGTTTCAAACATTTGTTTGAATATATTGACTTCTAGAAACAGTTAAT